GGAAGGAAAGAACAGCAGGACTACTCTTTAGAATAAACAATCAGGACCAAGTGAGAGGTGGCCACCCTCGTGGACTTCAAAGACATTGAGAGTGTCGGTGTCTCTGTTGCAATTCTGGATGAACACAGCATGAATCTACCAGGCTAGGTTCTTAAGCTTCTATTTGCAGCCCTGAAAGCCACAGCCAGCACTAAATCTCTCCTATTGCTTCCTCTCGGACGTGGGAATGACACCATTTGCCTGTCAACAATGCTTTGGGCTTCAGGCAGTGATGGTAAGTGCTCTCGGTCAAAGCATTAAACATTACAGGACATGGCACAAGCTAGAGGCTGGATGACACTTGCTGACGTCGCTTCCCGGCTGCTGACATGTTCACAAATCATGCCACCCTCCCACCCACCCCCCCCCCGGGTTAGGATTGCCAAAGAAGAAGTCCAGAGATCGCTCTCTGTTTCCCACGCATGGTGTTTCTTCCCACAGTGGCTGTGATAAGGATGGTACAGTGGATAGAGAGAATGTATGCTCTTTAAGAGGGAGAAACAAGTGTTGAATTTAAGAATCGTGTCTAGATCTTACATACAAATCCATTCGTATTCTCTTCCACCTCCCTGCTACCCCCCCTTCAGACTTCCTCCTCTCTCTCATTCTTGCTTTTGTTTTCCTTCTGTTTTACACACACACACACTTATTCTTAACCCTAGTTTCTTAATTTGAATATAAAAGACAATGTCACATTTGTGCACAGGAACACTGCAGAATGTTCCATCTCAATGAAGAGATTTAAACCAATGGATTGTGATGTCATGCATGCTCGCTTAGCTCAATCACCTACCAGATGTTTGAGTCCCCCTACAAAACAGGCACAGCTGCCTCACATCCACTATCCTAGGCACCTGTTGCATTCACAAACTTTTAATTATTTCAAAGTTACATTGTATACTAAATTAAAATCCACCTCTGCATAGCTTTCTTCCCCAAGTATAGTTCTACACTCCGGAAACAATGTAAATATCCAATCTCTTGCCTCCGTTTCCACCTCTTGAAGTATCTGGTAGCACTTATCTGCCTCCCCGAAACCCTACAAAGACCAGGACTTCTTCAAAGTCTTGCAGCTCTGAGAAACTTTGCTCAGACTTTGCAAAGTGTGGCCCAGCTTTGGCAGCCCCGGGGGATTTTTAAAGAAAGGATCTTGTTTCAAGAGTAAAATGTTCTTTCCCGGGACACATTCAGATAAGTAAACTTAGAAGACGCGCATAGAAGCTTATAGATGGGTCAAGACAATAATGGGTAGAGGCTCCGTGTCCATCTCAAGTAGCAGGAAGCAAAAATTATGCAGGGTGGAGCAGGGAAGCAGCTGTGAGGCCAGAGAGCTGCAGATTGCAGGTGATGGGCATGGATGTAAGTCTGCAGAGCACAATGATGGTTTGGATGCAGAAAAATAATCAACAGAAGCAAAAGATGTCTAATATACTGGATGTTCTGATATTTTCTGCAACTCCTAGACACCATGACAGCCTTTGTTTAGCCAAGTATTGGAGTGGTTACACAGTGCCTGCCTTTTTTTCCCCACTCCCTTGGAATCAGAAACTGCTAAGGAAGCTTGACAAGGACCTTGTCCTCGAGGAACTAATGTCACAGTGCAGAGCACAGACAATCCCTGAGTTAATGATTCAGGTCAGCAATAATGGCAGTACTTTGTGGATAAATAAAGTCATTTGCCATCTGTTTTTCTTAGATCCACTTAACTCTTCATCCTCTATTTTTTTCCTAAGATACATTATTACATTAGTCCCTAAAAATACAATGTCATTTGAAGAGTTCATTTAAATAATATAATATACTGGTTACAAAGAAGTTATTCAACTAAGGCATGGGTTATTTTTAGTATACACTTTATCATCAGCTGTTTTGTTTTTTACATGCACTAGAAGTTTGTTTCCAGCAATACTGGGATGATGTGGGAGGTGATGTGTGCTGTGAATGTTTTATTGCCACTGGTTAATAAAGACACTGCTTTCAGGCAGTGGCTTAACAGAATATAGCCAAGCTGGAAAAAATAGAGAGAGAGAGAGTAGGTAGAGTCAGGAAGAAGCCATGTAGCCACTGCTGAGAACAAAAGCCTCCGCTGGAGCCCACAGAAACTTTGCCTGTAGGCCATGACTTTGTGGTGACCCACAGATTAATAGAGATGGGTTAGTTTAGGATATAAGAGCAAACTAGAAATACGATTAAGCTATTGGCCAAACAGTATGGCAAATAATATGGTTTCTGTGTGATTATTTTGGGTCTAAGAAGCCGGGGACGAACTAACAGCCTTCCCCCAACAAACTGGCATGCCAAGGTAGTCTAAAATGTTTGGGGTTGATGCCCACCACCCACTTCGAGTCTACGTGCTTATGTGCATACACGGGGTTAGCAGCAAAATAGCTGAGACCATGCCCACAGCTCAGTGGTCCCTGCCTGGACAAGGGCGGGGTTGGGACTACTAGGCGTGCACAGGCAGAAGAGCGTGGTGGATTCCCGCTGCCACACACAGAGATATTTCTAGGTCGTGCAGTGTGTCGCATGGCAGATTTAGCTGTTACTCGGATAAAAAGGGGTTTATGTTCCTTCTCAGAGTTAAAGTGGTGAGGGCGGCTCCTACCTGGCAGTCTCAGAGCTGGCAGTAAAGGTACCTCCGCCATATTGAAAGACGGAGAGAGGTAGAGCCGGCATTCAGAGCTGCTGCAACCAAGCTGTTTACCATTTTAAGAAGCTGTCCAGGTCAGAAAAGGATTACAGATACACAATAAAGACAAATTCAGATATTTTTTAAAAAGACCTCTATATGGGTCACAATGTATTTAAAATGTACGTAGGCTTGGGAGAAAGAAAAATAAAAGAGTATAGAGAGCTATATAAAAGTAAATGTTTTTTTAAAAAAATAAAAACAAGTCTTTAAAGAGACAGAGTAAAGACAGTCTTAATAGATAAAAGAGTAAAGAAAAATAAGACACATAAATATGAAATGTGCACAGAGAGTCTGAATTATGCATAATATTGTGTTTTCTTTGAATTTTTTGACTGTGAAATAGCTAAGTACAGAGAGACATTTCATTGTATGGGCTTCTAAGCTAAACCAACATGTATACTTTAAGGATATGTTGCTTTAGAAAAGAGGTTTTATTTTTGTTTCCACAGAAGATGATAACCTATGGGTTCCTTTCAGACTAATGTGGTTTGATGGACCAAGATCTCCCCAAAAGGTTGCCATGAACACCCCCAAAAATTACTTCACCCAACAAAAAGTAGGAAGCAGTTTGCAGAAAACTATGCCCAAATCCCCAAATATTGTTTATAAATGTTTACATTTAAAGGGGGACATGCTATAGAGATGGATACTTTGCATTGGTATGGTTTATTGATGCAAATTTAAGGTCAATTTTATTATATGTATATTTCTGCTCTTTATTAAGGTATTATGTTTGTCAAGCTTATTTAAAAATGTAATATATAATTAAGAAATATAGGTTAGTAAAGAGTCATCTATAATAATCAAGGTTGTAGTCATGTTAGGTTTTCTAGATATAGAGAGATATATTTTAGTTATCTAGATAGTCTTCAAACCTTTCAAAGACCTATGGAATATGGCATTTAAAATTTTTTAAGAACTTAAGACTTTTCATAACAATAAGACACATCTGCTCCTAGCATCATCAATAACTTCAAAAGGAAGAAGGGCAACAAAGAGGCTCTTTATGGAGTTCGTTAGCCATTTGGGCAAGAAACTGTTCTTGCCTGGACTGCTTGATGTTATGCTGTATAAACTGGATATGCAGGACCCACATAAAAATGACTGCTGAACTTGTCTAAAGGTGAGACAATTTTTCAGAATTCCTGCTTCATGAAAAAGACTGCCAGACATTCTGCAGGACACAGAAAAAAGTGACTGACAAACTGCTAAAATGGGCAGAACTGTCTTTGAAATTTCCTGCTTCATGGAAAAGTCTGCCAGATACTATGGGCCTGTAGGCCGAAGATGGATACCCCAATGGTACAGGAGAATTTTGGGTGACCATCCGGGCAGTGAGATGTCTCTGTCAATTCTAGAGTTTTGGAAGTTGCTTACAATGCACTTCTTGTTTACTTAGATAATATTATGTCCTTCTGAGGTCTTTGATAGAGTTGAAGAATAGATAGTTATAGTTTTCCTTAGTTATGATAAAAGATAAAATAGATATAAATATTGTAACTTTAATTCTTGTTTGATACCTGTTTTGTTTATGTAATCGTGCTATGCTAAATTTAAAATCTTCCTTTTTATGTAGACAGAGAAGGGGAGGTGATGTATGCTGTGAATATGTTTTATTGCCATTGGTTAATAAAGAAACCGGCAAAGTTTCTACTGGAGCCCACTGAAACTTTGCCAGTAGGCCATGACCTTGTTGTGATGCACAGATTAATGGAGATGGGTTAGTTTAGGGTATAAGAGCAAGCTAAAAATATACTTAAGCTATTGGCCAAACAATATTGCAAATAATAAGGTTTCTGTGTGACTATTTCGCATCTAAGAAGCTGGGAACAAACTAACAGTCTTCCACAACACCGTGAGGGAAAGAAAATTTGGGAGGGGCCTTATTGATCTTCCATTCCATCTATTTTACGGTTCAATCACCTACTTGCGAGGAATCCAAAGTGAATGAATAATGATGTCTGTGGCAGAGGTCATACACAGATGTCTGAAACCATGCTTTCTCACACAGCTATTAGCAGAGAAGCAAGTCTGATCCAAGCACCGGGTATTCCCAGCTCCCAGGTTTAGATGTGACCAGACACAGTCTCCAGGTGGAAGCCCTAAGCCCACAGAACAGCCATTTGGACCAGTGATTCAGAGAGCTGTAAAGAAGCAGTGCTTGCCTCTAGCCAGCAACTCTTCTTACTACAAACCAAAGACTTCCAGGGCTACACTTACCCATAAAAAGCTCCACTCTCATCCCCTTTCTCTCCTTTCTCTTTAATTCCCACTTACCCTGTCATAATGTCCTGTGCTAGAGCAACCTGTGGCCCCGAACCATTGCCTGGCCTCTGCCTGTAGGCTACTGGCACTGAAGTGGGTCGCACAGTAAGAAAAAAAAATAATTCCCACTTACTCCCCAAGTCCTAACCTATCCCTGAGAGAAAATCCTCATTAGCCCACTTCCTACCCCAAGGCACACCTATCTCCCTAATCCCTATACTAATTATCATCTCCACCTGACTCCTCTTATCAATGCATTCTTCTGTTCTGCAATTCTACCCATTTCAAACTCAAATGCCAGTTGCTTGTAATGCCTGTTGAGTTAGTGAACTGCTGCAGAGGGTTCCATTGAGAGGGAAACATTCCCTCTGCTTCTCCCAGGGAGCCTAAAGAGAAAACCTCCTTGACACCACACACACACATGCATTCCTAAAAACACAAACTTATCTATTTCCACTGTAAATTCACATTACTTCAGTTAAAATAAATTACACTACACTCTTTGTAAATGTGGTGGTTTGAATACAAACAGTCCTCATAGGCTCATGTATTTGAATACCTGGTTCCCATTGGGAAAACTGCTTGAAAAAGGCTAGGAGGTGTGATATTGTTGGAGGTGTGTCATGGAGGGGGGCCATGAGGCTTCAAGACTCATGCAATTCCCACTGTGCCCTCTCTGCCTCCTGCTAGGGATCAAGATGTGAGCTCTCAGCCATTCCTGTGGCCCTGCCTTTGTCCCACCATCATGGACTCTAATCCTCTGAAACCATAAGTCCAATTAAATGCTTCCTTTTATAAGTTACCTGGGGCGTGGTGTTTCATCGCAGCAATAGAAAAGTAGCTCAGACTGTAAAGTAATATCCTAGTGGCCTAATGTCTTCCCTGGCCCTCCCAGTCTTTGAGCCTTCTATCATCAAGCATTCTATGGGCCAAATTGCTTCTCCCAAGGAAAACATAACATCAATTGGTTCACCTCTTCTCATTATTAACTCTTTTGTGGGGAAGGATACGTTGCCAGACTTCTCCTTGACTGAGAAGATTCAGGACCACCCACTGCCCTTCGTCCTGCTTCCACAAACCCCAGTGAGCTTCCATCACCCCTTCTGGTTCCCTGTTTCTTGGCTCTTATCCAGTGGTCAATGACTACATCCAGTTCCCTAGAGAGAAACGTTTACTAATACCAAGCCAATGGGGAACACCTGCCTCTTTCAAGCTGTGGCAGTGTGAATAAGTATCTAGACTATTACCTTGTCTTGAAGGATGAAATTTCTAAATAGGTCAACAGTCCTGGCCCCTTCAACTTCTTTCTACTTCCTCAGTTCTATAAAGCAGTCATCAGTTTATACGAACACATGGAAGGGAGTGATAGGTGGGTAGGTGGGTGGGTGGATGATGGGTGGGTGAGCAGTTCAACTTTCAGCTATAAGTTCAGCAATTAGTACTTGGCTCCTGGTGTTGTGAAACAGTGGAGAATCGAGGCATGTTTCGTTACTATAATTAAATATCTAAGTCAGACTAACTTTATAAGGAAAATGGGTTAATTAAGTTCGCAATTTTAAGTGCCATGTATACAAATAGCATTGTAAAAGTGCTCATAAAACAATCCTTAGCTGGGTCAGTTCAGTGGGTAATAGTGCTAGATGCACATTAGGAAACAAGCAACATCAGACATGGAGGCAGAGAAACTAGAGTCCAATAATCCCTTTTGAGTGCAGCAGCCCCCATGACCTGGAGACTTTTCCCTCAAAGAACCAACCTCTAGAATTTCCATCCTATATTGCAATACCTCCACCCCAGTGACTATACTCCCAGCCATAAACCTTGAGGATAAACTCATGGGAAGGCAAATTGCTATGCTTAAAGTTCTCATTGACTTCTTACATGGCCCCTGTCCTAGCCGTCAGTCCTTTGTCCTTTGTCATAGGAGCCATGGAATTTGCTCAGTCCTAATGCTTCAAGAGGCCTGTAATGAGCTTCTATCTCCTTTTGCCCTGTGTAAGCACAGCCAAAAGATTCCCAATTATCTTTCTTCAACTTAATTAAGCTCTACCCTTGGTCTCCCTTTCATAAATTTTCTTCTTTGTATATAAAGATGGGTGCCTTACTTTTCCAACATAAATGCTGCTATGATTCAACCCAAGAGCTACTGATTATGATATAATAATAAGGTCCTGTGGTCTCACCCCAGGAAAGACATCTGTACCCAGGAATAAATCAGTTAAGATAGTCTAGAATTTCCAATCAAGTCTTTCACTTCATTGTGCCCAAGAAGAATGTATGTTCTGATGCAGGGAAGGGCAAACTTTTTTCATCTCTTCTTGAACACTTGTGGGGTATTTTTCCATTCGCTCTTTTTAAAAAGACAAATCCTTTGAAAAATAATTAAAACAGAGTGACAGAGCAGTTGCCTCTCAAGAGAGCTGAGTTCCAGAGCTGAACAAATTGCTCAGTGGGGCTAGAGAGATGGCTCAGTGCTTAAGGAGTACATCCTGCTGTTTCAGGGAGCCCAAGTTCAGTTCCCAGGACCCATGTCAGGCAACCACCTGTAGTTCCAGCTCCATGGGAGCCGATGCCCTCTTCTGGCCTCTGCAGGTATCTGCACTCACCTGCAGAGACACAAATGCCCATTTTTTTAAAAGAGGAAGTTGTATATATCCTCTGTAAAAATCGAACAGACAAAAAGGGCTAGTCCAGACCTATGTATTATTTAGCATGCTCCTTATGCATCTCCACAGATTTTTAACTAATCGCAAAAAAAAACATGAAAAGTAAACATTTCCCTAAATTATATCTTTCCTTTTCCTTCTTGCCAAGAATGTTAAAAACAAGTCTTATACTTTCTGCAGAAAAATAATCATCCCAAGAGACAGAAAACACTCTTGACATGTTTACAGAAACAGGTTGCTAATGTAATTCACTGTATCTGGAAGCAAGTAGAAGAACACACTTATCATGCAGGCTGAATAAAGGTTATACGTGTTCTGTGTTTTATTCTTAATCCAATGTTGAGTGTCCTGACAAACTTTTGACAAGACCTAAGGACTCATGAGATCTATAGTTCTCAGCGGAAGAGAAGCAATTGCCAAAGTCCTCTTCTCTGGATAAATACCATATCAAGTAGACCGAGAAGTCACTAAGAAAAGAAGAAGAGAAAAATATTATAATCTTTCTCCAGGGTAATGTCTGCAAAATGTCACCCTGGAAGCCCCAGACACACAAATATACCACAAACGACTAGCGTTGCAGAAGCACTATGACCTGAGCTGCCTGAGAATGAACCACCAAGGAGGTAGGTGGATGGTCCGGCTTTCCACAAAGACATGGTTTCATTCTCTGGGCTGCTGCTCACAGAACCTGAAGAAGGTTTGTGTGTGTGTGTGTGTGTGTGTGTGTGTGTGTGTGTGTGTGTTTAAAATCACAGTCACCCTGCCCCGTTCATCTGAAACCATTTCCTTAGAATTTTAAGTTGTGATCTCCAATTAAAATGGAACCAGGGACTGCTCACATTGACACGACTTCTAAAAATCAGACGTGTAAAATGGAGTTGGGGCTTTCCTGCTCAAATATGTACAGACCAAAGAATCTGAGGGAGGTGCTCTTGCTTTCAGAGGCCTTAATGGGTAGTGATCAAGTCCTAAGATTTTGTGAGCACATAAGTTTCTCAGCATAGTTGCGCCCTGACTTCTTTCCATAGAGAAGAAATTTGCAAAACATGTTTGCCTAAAAACAAACACGTGTTCTTTATTAAAGGATATTCCATAGGTTTCCTTCAAAAACCAGACTCCCTTGCCAGGTTTTGAATGAGTGAAGCTTTTGTTGTTGCTGCTGCTATTACTGTTGTGGTTTCCTATTTCTTTTCCTTTTTTATGATTTTTTCTTTTATTTTCTCTCATCCATTACATTCCAACTGCAGTTTCCCCTCTTTCCACTTTTCCTACCTGCCCCCACCTTTCCTCTCCCCCAGATCCACTCCTCGTCTATGTCCATTCAACAAGATCTCCCAAGGTTATCACTAAACACAGCATAATAAGTTACAATAAAACTAGACATAACACCTCATATCTAGGCTGGAAGAGGCAGTCCAGGAGGAAAAGTGTTCCAAGAGCAGGCAAAAGAGTCAGAAGACACCCCTGTTCCCCCTGTTAGGAGTACCACAAGAACACCAAGCTACACAACCATAAATTATATACATAGGACCCAGCTCAGACCCATATTGCGTCCGCTATTCAGTCTCAGTGATCCCCTATGGGCTCTGGTTAGTTCATTATGTGGGCTTTTAAAATAAGAATTAACCACAATTCTCTTAAATGTATCTGCTGCCTAAAACAAGGCCCAGGCCTAAAAGAGGCAGGTCTGAAAATTGGTCCCCAGGAAACATAGAACCTGAGAGTTAATGATTATTGACTTCTATCAATTAACGTGGCACGAAGCGTGACTCTTTTTTTTTTAACATTTTTATTTCCCCAGCCCTTTCTTTTTTTTCTTTCTTTCTTTATTTATTTATTAAATATTTCTGTCTCTTCCCCACCTCCGCCTCCCCTTTCCCTCCCCCCCCCCCCCTCCATTCCCCCTCCCTCGTCAGCCCAAAGAGCAATCAGGGCTCTCCGTCCCGTGGGAAGTCCAAGGAAAACCCTCCTCCGTCCAGGTCTCGTAAGGTGAGCATCCAAACATCCTAGGCTCCCACAAAGCCACTACATGCAGTAGGATCAAAAACCCATTGCCATTGTTCTTGATGTCTCAGTAGTCCTCATTGTCCGCTATGTTCAGTGAGACCGGTTTTAACCCAGGCTTTTTCAGACCCAGGTCAGCTGGCCTTGGTGAGTTCCCGATAGAGCATCTCCATTGTCTCAGTGTGTGGGTGCACCCCTCGCGGTCCTGAGTTCCTTGCTCATGTTCGCTCTCCTGCTCCTGATTTGGACCTTGAGATTTCAGTCCAGTGCTCCAATGTGGGTCTCTGTCTCTGTCTCCTTTCATCGCCTGATGAAGGTTAATATGCAGGAGGATGCCTATATGTTTTTCTTTGGGTTCTCCTTATTTAGCTTCTCTAAGAACCCGAATTATAGGCTCAATGTCCTTTATTTATGGTTAGAAACCAAATATGAGTGAGT